TTCTATTTAGTCCCTAACAAGACCCTCAACCCCGATCTAAGATGTAGACGAAACTGACAGCGACTATCGGCGCCGCGCTGTCGATGTATTCCTGCAACGTTAACAATTTCACTGTCGATCGCGGGGATTGAATCGATCAATAAATATAAATTTTGTAATTAATTTCTAGCATTTTACTCGATACGTTGTCAGCTTCTGTACCACAAGTCCCATGATGAGTGCGCGTTAATGCATCAATTCTTGCTTTGATCTGCAGGCTAGTGATAAAAAAGTACCGTTATCTCCAGGTAAGTCCAGGGTATCCTTTCTCTCCTGGCCAACCTGGCTGTCCAGGTTCTCCTTTTGGACTTGCCAATGTGATGCCTTCAGGACCAGGTATTCCAGGTGGACCTTCACGACCAGGTCGACCGTCAATTCCAGGCAGTCCAGGTAATCCGTCCATGCCACGCTCTCCTTTGAGACCAGGGATTCCAGGTAGACCTGGGAAACCATCGTCTCCCTTCATGCCCGGATATCCTGGTGCTCCTGAATGTATAATTGTTCAGTGAGGAAACTTCTTTCACTTACCGGTCCTTTTAACCTACCAGGTGGTCCTCTTTCTCCTGGATAGCCAGGAACTCCATCACGTCCAGGTGGTCCAGCTGGTCCATCGTCACCACAGTCACCAGGTGCACCAGGTATTCCATCCAGACCTGGCGGTCCCGGCAATCCTGGTGTTCCGTCATGCCCTGAAGCAATTACCTTTATGCTGCCCATTCAGAAAATGTGGCATGCAACCATAATGACGAAAAAAAACATCTTGGAGGCCGTATATTTGCACATTGCGAGCGATTACCGTAGTCTTACGCCTAGCTTTACGGTGCAGTTGAACTCTCTCCACCGGTATTTCAGACTAGGAATTCCAGGTAGACCTGAGAAACCATCGTTTTCCTTCTGGCCTGGATATCCGGATGCTCCTGCATGGACCGCTATTTCGGACTAAGTGGCCTTCAGTGAGACCCAACATAGAAGAACTGTCATAACAGCTGTTACAATATTAGCACACTGAGCTTATAATTCGATAAGATGATGTTAATCAGCAACAATGCTGTATTTGTGATCATAAATTCGAGCACCTCCTCTCTTTTGGAGGCCTGGACTCTATCGATCAGGAGAAATTGCAGCAAAATGCTAAATATCATAAAAGGCGCTATAAAAGAAGCGCATTTCGTAAGCTCCTCTCGCTCCATTAACTGGGCTGCGTTCATACTTCGCGGCGGAGTCCATCAGCGTTCCGAGCGTCCAGCACCACCAGTGACTAGGGAAGTATAGATATTGATCTACCGTCTGCCAGCGTCTACTAGTGTCTGCCAGCGTGTGCCAGCGTTCATCAGCACGAACAAGAATAGAGAGTATGGAAAAGTAGGAGGGTAATAAACAGCTGCATAAAGCCTCGTTGAACTGCGTTGCGTGCAATCGTACCATACAACTACACTACACCGTACGTTAAATTGCATAATTCTGTGCTTTAGCAATTGTGCGGTGCGGTCGCACACGCCGCAATTTCACGCCAATCCATGCTCCCCTCCTACTTCCCCATAGTCTCTACTCCCGGTCGTTGGTGGACGCTGGCTGACGCTGACAGACGCTAAATCGATATCTATGCTTTCCTAGTCGCTGATGCTGACGGACGCTCGAAGCGCTGATGGTCGCTGGTGGATGCGAAAGAGGAGAGGGGGGAAGAGGCAGTTCAGAGTTGTCCACAAAGTAGTGCCTGCTCCCAACCCTTCCTGATCCG